CCTCATCGCTAGGGTTCAGTACAGCTGTCATTATTCTGGTACAAACTTGTATGTGAAATGATCTGATCCTTCATTCATGGCTAAACAGAAGCTTTAATAAATGAGGCTCATTTTGCAAGCAGTTTACGCACACGCATGCATACTTACACTTCAAAATGGATTGGTTTGAAGCTTCCAGCAGTTCTAGGTGTATTTCTTGAGCAGCGGCATAAAACCAATCTGTTTTGTGTTGTAATGAATGGTAAGCCAGCAGCGCAGCACATATCTATCCCTATTATCTATCCCTATTACAATGTAGGATTCTTATATATTTTTTTCCATTCAATCTGAAAAGTGCTCGCTAAGCTGCTGTCGAAATGGAGTCCTATTTCAGCACTGAAAAGCTGACCCACACTGTAAATCACTGGCTCCGGGACAGGAACTCGTAGTCTATTTACACGCTCAGAAGCTGAAACAGTTTAATTGCTCTAATTTGAGCACTTCACGGTTTTGTGTAATGTGTTTCCGTTAATGCTGTGATTTCTGCTGGCACTACATCATTATGTAAAACAGGCCAAATCAGCTGGATATAATTTTATAAAGAAGCACTTGGCTAAATGAGCCCGGTGTGACATGTGTATGTTAGGAGATAGTGGCTTGTATTAGTTTGTGTGTCTTTTGTTAAACAAAAATGCATTTAAATGATACATAATTGCGCAGCACAACAATGTTTTTTTATAATCTGTCTTTTGTGATAATATGTTGTGTGAGATGAGGCCGCTTTAACATGTAAGCAGGGCCTGTGTGAGTCAATCCTTTAAGTGACACTAAACGCAGGAGTTAAACGCATTCAAGTACCTTAACTATTAACAAACATGTATCTTATTTGTGTATCACTCGGCTGTAGATCCTCAAATCATCTCTGAATTCATGCTGACACTGTCCTTCCTTCTGGAGGGTGACTACTTTTGTTCCCCCTGGTCCCTGCCTGTGTTGTGAAGTAGTCACCGCTCCAAGCTCACTCCCGCGATGGACTGCAATCTCACGTTTAGTTTACTAGTTTGTATCGAGATTGTAGCCTATCACATGGTTTGAGGATCTACAGACGAGTGATAAACAAATAAGATACATTTTTGTTAATAGTTTAGGTACTTGAATACATTTTTAAGAGTTAACTCCTGAGTTCAGTGTCACTTTAAAGCAACCCAGCTCATGATTTAAGTCAGCCACAGCTACCTTGGGACATGCTTTGAAACTTACTCCAAAGTGTTACATAGCCGCGAGCAGTTGGAGCTCATGAAGGGAGTAAAGACTTATCATGCCACCTGTAGATAGCTATAGTAAGTATTCCTTTTTTTTAATTTATAGGGTTCTTCTGATCTAAGTTGTTCCAGCTAACTGAAAGGCCAGTTTAAAGCCCAACTACAGATAAACTTTTAGTTTTTTACCAGCAAAATGTTCCCTCACTGTCTGTTACACCACCGAAAGGGTGTCACAAGGCCAGGAATTGATGGGATGTCTCACTGATGAGTAAAGATACAACAACAAAAGCACATCTGTTGTATCTTGTCCTGGTGTCACCGACACAGGAAAATAGGGGGAATCTCCCTAGCCAGCAATAAAAGCTTGACCAGGTTGAACGCCGACTGTCTTTAACCCACAAGAGAAACATCTAGTTTTGGACAGAGTTTCGGAAGGGGGCACAGTCAGACAGAGAAAAAAAACACAAAAAAACTAAAGCCAAACTTTTTTTTTTTGGCTTCAGTACTCTTTCGGGTCAAAAGAGTACATTTACTTGTGTACTCCTGCGACCTAAGGTCAGCATCTAGCAAGCAACTGCCCTTTATTTGAAGACAGTGCAAAGCCCCTCTGCCTGATTGACAGCTGGCTCTGCCTCTCTAGAGCTTGTGACCACCCCCGGTCTATCCCTCCAATAAGCGCTGGAGGAACAGAGAGGAGGGGGTGGCAATTCCTGTGGGAGCGGTGACTTACAGTCACCACTCTCTGGTCAGCTAACGGTCTTCTCCCTGCAATCAGCGGTTCGTGACCTCTTCGCTCTCAATATTTAGGGAATGGTTTACACCCCTGCCAGATTTAGGTTTTTTTTTTTTTGTTCTTTGTTTTTTTTTTTTTTAAATACTAATTTTTCTTTAACATAATTTTAAAGAATTTATCTGCGTCAATGCTGACCTTTTGCTTGCTTTACTTCAACAATGTGCTCTGCTATGTTGTCCTTTTTCCATCTCTATTTGTTGGCACCGTGGCTCAGCTGTCTCTTCATACGTTTCGCCATTTACTTCAGATATAAACAAGACACGCACAGAGCCGTGCAGCTGGGTGATATGTTTCTAATGTCTTGGTAAATTTTAATAAATGTGTGACACATTTCAGCAAACAGTGGTGACACGTAACACACTGACTCCAGCACTTTATTAAATCCTTCACGACCCATGAAGGGATAATCCCGTCATTAATCCTGAAGGGGTTAAACAAAAGCCGACAGGACTCTGTTCAGATTTATAGAGCCAGTGGCCGGTGTTACAGTAGAAACAATTTGGGCGGCTCAGCTGTCCCTTCGTGTTTTCTGGGCCTCCTACGGGCTCGGGAACGGTGTCTGCGGTGGAAAGCTGGGGAGGAGGGCACCGAATTTCCGTTCACCGATCTCCTCCCCGTTCAATGTGACGGGGAACAACGCAGATTACATCACTTCCGGGCCCATAGCTGCCATTGAAGCCCAGCAGTAAGCTATTAAGGTGCGATCTGCACTTCAATAGCTTATTCAAAGTGTAGACGTGATACTAGGGGTCTTTTGGACCCCCCAGTATCACCTTAAAGAGGGCCTGTCACCAACAATCTGCTATCACATCGGGGGGCATGTAAGCCGCCCCCCCTATGTAATGGCAATTAAAGTAAAAAAAATAAAATAAGTAAATTAAATGTAAAAATATGTGTTAAAAAAAAAACATCTTTAACCAGTTGACATCCGCGGTGTTAAACCCACTTCCCATCCAGGCCATTTTTCAGTATTCAGCGCTGCGGTACTTTAACTGACATTTATTCCGTCATGCAGCGCTGTACTGAAATTAATTTTATACCATTTTTTAGGGACAGATAGAGCTTTCTTTTGGTGGTATTTAATCACCACTACGGGTTTTATTTTTTACTATATTAAGGAAAAATTACCGAAAAATAAAAAAAAAACAGTTTCCCCTATATTAAATGATAAAACATTTATTATTACCCAATTTTTTGGTAAAATATAAAAGACGGGGTCACGCCGGGTAAAAAGACACCAAACATGTCAAGCCTTAAAAGTGTGAGCGCGCGCGCGAAACCTCAAAAAAACGATAATACTCAAAATTGGCCATTGGCGACGCTTTAAAAGCTTTTACCGCTCATCAGTTTAGTGTTATCAGTGATTGATGGCCCTAAAATGATTGCTCACACTGCGACGTTCGTGGCGATATGTAACGTGTGTAGCGCAATTGTCGTTTTCACGCGCTGGTGCACCGGACGCGCATTTACGTTTGTCTGCGTAAACGTGGGGGTGGGGGAGTTAAACATTTTAGGGTTTTTTTAAAACTTTTTTTTATATGTGACTTTTTTTTTTTATTATTTCTATATATATTTTTTTGCACTTATTGTTATTGCTATTATATAGGGGGATAACAATCCCCCTATATAATAGCAAAGGCACACTGACAGGTCCTCTTTATGGAGACATTATGGGTCTCTAAGACCCCTAATGTCACCTGGGGACCCCAAAAGAAGCTTCTTTTCTCTGGCTATAGCAGCCAGATGACTGACAGGTGAATGCGGAAGTGATGTAATACACATCACTTCTGCATTCACAGCCCGGAGGGAGACAGCAAGGAGCTGATCTCCCTCCCTCTTCCGCCTAACGCCCTCCCCGAGCCGGTCCCGGGCCGCAGATGGGGCAGCGGATCCCGGGATTGAAGGTGAGGGGTCAGGGGGGCCGAAAAAACTAGCACATATAGAGGATCGGCGGGCTATGGAGCCGCCGATCGTCTATATGTGAATTGGTCGGGTCTTTTCTGCCCCGTGCGCGCCCGCAGAAAAAAAATGCCGTCTGGAGACGGCAACCCACCAATGCTGCAGTGCCATCCGTCCGTTTTTTTACAACGGGCGGACGGCAAGTGGTTAAAGATCCCTGCCCCCCCCGTCACGTAAACACGGGTCGGTAAATAAGCCTGAACATGGCCATATAACAACAACAAAAGCTTAACACCATATGTTACATAAGATTTCCAAGTTCCTTAAAGTAAAGCTGACGCAAAGCTGTGCAACTCAAACTGAGCAAATGATTATAAAGTGGATAAGCAGAGGCTACCCTGTTGACTTTACTGAAATAGTCAAGCCTGACTCAGCCCCCCTTCAGTCTTCAGTTCCTCTCCATTGTTCTTAAGGGCCTGTTCACACCATAGATCTGTGCCAAATGCACCTGAACCATTGCACAGCGCGCTGCATGCTATGTGCATTGATGTGTTGCATTGCTATTCATTTGAACAACGCGTTACCATGTGTTGCACTACACTGCAACGGACGCCTGCTCGGAGGTGCGTTGGGGTGCTATTCAAACAGAAGCAGAACACACATGGCTTGCAGTGCAATGTACTGGGGGTTGAATGCATGGATCTCATGCATTTAGCGCAACACTATGGTGTAAACAGGCTCTTAAAGTGAATCTGTGCAGAGAGAAAAGCTCAACGGATTCTTAACTTGTATTGTAGAAGTTTGCACACCAAGTATGTTCTTGTGTTAGGTTTATGTATTACAGGCAGTTATATAGAGCCAACAACTTAGTCCCCACTAGCATGTCTTTGGGGTGAGGGAGAAACCAGAGTACTTGGAGGAAATCCATGCAAGCATAAAAAGAATATGCCAAATCAATGAAGATAATGTCCTGGCTGGGATGCAAATCAAAGGCCCCCAGTGCTGCAAGACAGAAGTGCTTCCCTAGCAGGATCCCCACAAAACTAATTTCTCCCTTATCATTTCAGCCTGTGAACTTTACTTTGAAAACACCAAGATCCCCATCGAAAACGTCATTGGAGAGGTTGGCGGAGGCTTTAAGGTACGGTGCGATCCCTGCAGTTGATGTGTCTTTATAAACATTTATAGTAACATTTCAGGGGGAAGAGGCAATTTAGTGTGTTTATGCTTGTGACCCTGTTTGAGGATATTCATTTTGGTTGCTAGATGTGTCTAGTACTTGGACTGTCGCTTTGTTTTTACTGTTCATTTGTTGTTCAGTTGTTGTTCAGTTGTTGTTCAGTTGTCTACACAATCTCCATGTCTTGTAATCCATAAAAAAACGTTTATAACAGGTGACTGTGTGCTAGTGATATGTGGAATGAAACAAATTATTCCTTATCTTGTATAAAGTAGAAATGTTGCCCTTTGTTAATAAGAGATGTCTGATTTTCAGGTTGCCATGAACATTCTAAACAGTGGGAGATTCAGCATGGGTAGCGCTTCTGCTGGGTTGATAAAGAAATTAATTGGTAGGTATGTTGTTAGAGCTGTATGAAAGATATAATTCATACAATGGAAGAATGAAGGAACGCAAAATTATAAATAAGCGACTTATGTTAAAAATCATTTGTGCTCCCCTAACCTCTTCCTCCTCATTTTCGATCTCTCTGAACTAAGATCACGTTTTTTTTTCTTTCCCTATTATACACTACGTCTTTGAAACAAATATTGGAAACCTTCCAAATTATAGCTAATTCTAGCTAATTTGCCTACAAACGTCAGGTGGTCATAATAAACTGGCCACTCAGTGTATACTAGTACATATTGTAATCTATGGATTAGACACTGCAAATGTGGATACATTGCAGATGCAAAATATACACAATGTTCAATATTCCAAAATTAGAAGAGATCGCCCTCAAAACAAGTCAATGTGGCCCCACTCACATACAGATTAAATGTATCCGTTCATCACCTCTGAGCATAAATGACTTCCAAAGGAAAGGGTCCAAGTTAAGAAGAACCTCAGATTGATGTACGTAAGTGTAAGTTGCTAATGAAATATTGGACAGTGTGTATATACTGTATGTATACCAACCAATTCGGAGGCACTAAAAACAAGGTGGACACCATTCCATGATCAGAAATATTCACAGGTCACCATATTTGACCATCACTCCGGTGTCACAGCCACCATGCAGAAGGGACATTACTGTCAGATTAAAATGCATCCAGCTTAGCGAATAGATGTACAAGGGAAATGCATATATAATCAAAATTACAATCAGAACTGATGTCCAAGAGGATAAAGGCAAGAAATGCCATAACCCAAACATAGGCACGGATTTCTAAAGCAAAGAATCAAAATACCAATGTATTTCAATTAGGGAATTGGGACATCAGTGCAATATGTCCATGTGTAACTTTTAAGATGGTTTTCCAAATGGTTTCTTAACGAGAGAAAAATGTAATTAAGGACACCAGACCACTATTTAAACTCCTTTTAAAGGAAACTAGTGGTTAGATGCAGGGCTGCCATTGCTGACCTGCTTCTGGAAACGCTAGCTGCTTGGCAGTGATGCTCATCGTCTGACTTCAGTACTTTCTGAGTCATTGATCTGTAATTATAAGGACACACATGAAATCAGAGTGAAGTCCTAACTCCTTATTGGCATACTTATTCAGAATCATTGCCATAATAAAACCCATTAGATAAGACTGTAGTTACACTACAGTAGAGGGCCATCATGTACCTATAGCCCACCTCAGTCGGACCATAATGGTTTCTAGTTGTGTGTTACACGTAAATGCCTACAAAAAATTATCTAGGGATACCTGAGAAGGAGATTATGAAGCTTCCATACTTGTGTTCCCTGTAGTGATTTCCTCATAGAATTATATGGAAATCACAAATCATGCAAAGGAAGCAGAACATTTGTTTATTATGGCCATGAATGTGACATCTAAACGGGACGCAGATGATCCATTTGCTCGTATCATGGACAGCCTAACCCAGTTAACTGAAAATAAGTTTGAAATCAAGTTCTGCTTTAATTGAAAATGACATCTATACCTGTATGTTCCCTTCCAATATAACCTGCTTGAAAACCTACTTTACTATTAAGCTTCTCCGTAGGTTTCTGATTAAAAACTAGACCCTTCACAAGGCTTGATTTCAAGTTTAATTAGAAAGAGAGAGGTTCAGGAGCAGAGGACATTGTACAATATGAAAGGGGATCTACATATCATGCATTTGTTTAACCCTTCTACCTTTTCTGTGAATAGAGATGACAGCAGAGTATGCATGCACAAGGAAACAGTTCAACAAGAAGCTGAGCGACTTTGAATTAATTCAGGTGAGGAGATTTCTGTGAGTAATCAGGCAACCACATTGAGAAGCCTTATGATTGTGCAAATATCTACAGTTATGTTTTAAATCCCAGAGGATTAATAGGGATTCTGTATTCAGGGTTTGTCTACCCAGCTGAATGCATCTTGACAGTAGCTTTCCCGGAACAGTCATTTTGATTGTGCCTGGATTTCTACACTCTTTACTGCTTTGTGACTGGCTGGCTCAGCTGACAAGCTACCCAGTTGCTCAGTTGGAAGTGTTGTCCGTTATGACATGGAAATGTGCTGTAAAGTTATGACTTGCATATGCTACAAGGGACAGCCTAGCTGAGAACAAGAGACATCATCACATGAATAAAAAAATTCCTTTAACCCCTTCGTGACTGACGACGTACAGTGTACGTCGCCAGCATCGGGGCTGTTTAAACAGACTCCCGGCGACTTTTGCCGCCGGGACTCTGTTTAAACTTGTAGAGCCGACTGTCGGCTTTACAACAGAAGCGATCCTGGCGACTTACCTGTCCCCAGATCGCTTCTGCGTCCCGAAGAAGGGGCCGCCCC